AGTTGATGTGTTAGAAGCAGGAAAAATGGGCAAGCGTAAGGATTTGAGCGAGTTTGACAAAGGCCAAATTGTGATGGCTAGACGACTGGGTCAGAGTCAGCATCTCCAAAACTGCAGCTCTTGTGGGGTGTCCTGGTCTGCAGTGGTCAGTATCTATCAAAAGTGGTGCAAGGAAGAAACTGTGGTGAACTGCCAACAGGGTTGATGCACGTGGGGAGCGAAGGCTGGCCCGTGTGGTCTGATCCAACAGACAAGCTACTGTAGCTCAAACTGCTCAAGAAGTTAATGCTGGTTCTGATGGAAAGGTGTCAGAACACACAGTGCATCACAGTTTGTTGCGTATGGGGCTGCATAGCTGCAGACCACTCAGGGTGCCCATGCTGACCCCTGTCCACTGCCGAAAGCCCAACAGTGGGCACGTGAGCATCAGAACTGGACCATGGGGCAATGGAAGAAGGTGGCCTGGTCTGATGAATCACGTTTTCTTTTACATCGCAATACAGATTGTGTCAAAGCAGATTTACAGTGTTAAACAGGAAAATGATGTTTCAATGATGCAAACAAAATTCAATTCTGCTGTAAAGCAGCTCTAAAAAGAGGACACTGATAATGATTATTACAGTAACAAGCGCTATGAACAGCATTGAACATAATAATAAACATAAATGCCATGTCAGATGCAGCTTCTGTTCGACCTTTCCAGTGTAGAGATGGCTTTTATTGAGGTTTATAAAACTTTATTGGTAACAGTAGTTTATAGTGGATCTGTAGCAAGGTCTATAGTATTCTGATTGATTGAAGTAATTGGTCAAATTTAAGTATTTGACAAAACACAGCACAGATATTTAATTTAATAAGGTAATTAGAAGAACTGTCCTTAATTTCAGGTCTCAAATATTGCCCCTTAACAGAAATGGTCATGACTGACCCTTATGGGTTGTTAGACAACCCAGTCTATATGAAGATATATATAAGTTAAAGATCAGTTTGGCTGATAGCATTTTTTTTTTTTTCAAACTTTCTACAGATATTGCAATAATATCATTATTGTGGATTATTTTGACCACAGTAATCCTGCAGTGAAGATCTGACACAGTGACAACCCTAATTCCAAACCCAGTATGCCATAGTATGCTACAGACCATAGTCAGGATATTGCCATATTTAATTTTTGACAGGAATGAAAACGAGGCTGTGAGGCACTGAAGTACAGGGTGTTCAATGGATTGTGCTGTTGTTTAACAACGTACTTATTGTTCAGCTGCTAAAACATCACTCTGAGAAAAAAAACAAAAAAACTTTCAGTAGACCAAAGCTCCATAAAACAGTTTTAAAAGTTGTGAAAATTGCGTGATCTAGGAGATTTATACAGTTCGTGCCATTGCAAAGACTGTAAGTCTGTCCCTCACAGCCTCGTTTTCATCTGTGTTGAATTCACTATGGCGTCTAAACAGACAGGGTGTAGTCTTCTGAGTACAGCCAGTGAGGACAAGGCATTAGAAAGACGTGCTCACCTTGGCACCAGCAGCTGCAGGCTGTGGCAGAGCGACTGTATAAACCAGGTTCCCCTGCCTTTTTCCCTGTATGAGACGTAGTGTGGTACAGTGGACATGGCTAACAGGTAGTCCGCCATCTCTGGTATGGAGTCTCTGGGTACAGCTGCATCGCTGAATAGCATGTCCTCATCTTCTGAGCAAGTTTGAGGAAATGCTGCTGGCTGATTGTCGTTACCCCTGCAGGCCTGGATGAAGAACAGTTTGGGTTTCTTGCAGAGAGAGGGACACTCATTTGGACTCAGGGTCTCTATCAGCTCCCTAAAGGTGACGATCTCTCCATCAACCCCGCAGATGCCTTCTACTCGTCCGTGGCTCAACACGCAGCACACAACGCAATCCGCCGGCGTGTGATCACGAGCAGCCAGGTTCCTCAGCACCTGCAGGATCTGATGGCGATTGCAGTCCTGTTCAACCAGGACCTCAAATCCCAACCACTTGAATACAACCTCCAGCCTTTCTGTACAGACACAAATGGACAGTGGAGTGTTATGCAACAGCAGCGACTTTGTGCATGTGACCAAATGCATGACTCTTATTTTTTGGCCAGATTTCTCTGCAGTGCAATAGAGTGCATTAGTGCCTGCCCACTTTTTTTTCGCTGAGTTGGTTCTGTGAGTATTTTTTCCACTAATTTTCTCCATGGGGATTTTACAAAAGATTCTTTAAGATTTAGAAGCCATGAACCAAACCAACCAGCTATGAGGTGAATCACAACATTAATTTAAAGATGGTGATTATATTATAAAAACTATTTATTATATTTAAGTTTATTGCAAAATACGCATATATTTACAAATATTGAATTGGTTTGACTGTAGGGAGACTCGATTGGCCTACTGGCACGTGTGTGCCTGATAACTGGTTTATATATGTGTGTTTGTTACACTAACCTTTGTCAATATCTGTTCCTTCTCTGTTCCCCAGTGTGCATGCACGGAAGTCATAGTTGTTGATGATTAGACCGAATCCTCTCCTGTCCCCCTTCATCTCATACTGCTGGATCTACCACACAAACGGCACAACTGTTAAGAAGTGTGGAGAATGCCTGGTTTGATTTAAGCAGGGGTGTCAGCAACAGAGTCCAGTATAACATAATATAGTTTACATACAAAAATATAGTTAACTGCACAGATCATGGTCGAATAGAGCAAAACTGACTAATAAACAATTCACAAGCCCTCAGTAGGGTTTCCAGTATCTTTGTGAACATATAACAATGGTCTCTGTCGATCCATTCACTCTTCAGCAGCAGTTGTGGTTTTAACCCATGCATCTTCATCTCCTCTCTGGTGACGGTGTCTGTATCCTGTAACAGGAAGTCCAATTTCTGCAGCACCTGTAGCCTTCTAAGATGTCTTCAGTGATTGCTTTTCCTCTGACGTCTTCTCCACACTGTTCTTCTAGTCTCTCGTTGCAGTTGGTCAGTCTTCTTCTTTGCAATCAAGCATTACTAAGCACACATCCTATAAGTCCTTAACTTGCCAGGTGGAGCTGCCATGCATTGGACTGGTTGGTCCAGCATATCCCACAGATGCTCAATCAGATTACCATCTGAAGAATTTGGAGATCAGGACAACACCTTTATGTTCCTCAAATCATTCCTGAACAGTGTGCAGTGTAGCAGGTGCAATATCCTCCTGAAAGAGCCCACTGCCATAAGGGAACATCATTGCCATGAGGGCCAACATCCTGCAGAATTTAGCTTCAACCAGCTTCAGCACAATTCGATGAAGATTTCTAGTGAGTCTGAAGTCCTTAATTAGCTGGTTCAGGTGTGTTTAATTAGGGTTGGAGCTAAACTCTGCAGAACATCGGCCCTCCAAGAACAGGTCTGGAGACCCCTGGTGTAACTGCTCTGCAATGAGGTTTAGGTAGGTGGCATGTGTCAAATTGACAGCCACACAAATGTCCGGACACAGGGTTTCCCAGCAGAACATTGTCCAGAGCATCACAGGCCCTCAACCAGCTTGTCATCTTTCCACAGTTTATCCTGGTGCCATTACAGGTAAACAGTGGACATGTTGTATACAACCATTCACGTGATTCATCAGAACAGGCGACCTTCATTCACTTCTCCAAAGTCCAGTTCCGTCCAATTCTAGGGGCTTTCGGCTGTGGACAGGGGTCATTCATGGGCACTCTGAAGAGTCTGCACCTACACAGGCCCATATGCATCAGGGTGCTATGCGATGTGATCATTGTGAACAGTGTCGTGAATATTGCTCCTTTAGCCATCATTAAAATTGTCACCACATAAGACTATTCTGTTTTGTTTGGTCCAGACGCAACAGCCACCGATTTGTGGTTTGTCCCTCCTCGGAACACTTTTAGTAGGTTCTTACAAATGCTGAACATAAGTATCCCACAAGCTTCGCTGTTTCAGAGATGCTCTGACACAGTTGTCTGGCCACAACAATTTGGCCCTTGTCAAAGTCATTCAGATCTTTATTCCTGGCCATTTCTCCTGCACCAACTGGTTGCTCATTTACCATATAAATTACCCAGACCTTAACATGAGACCTTTAAATGAGATGATAAACAGTATTAATTTCACCTATGAGCGGTCATAATGTTTTGCCTCATCAGTGTATTACAACATACATTCTCTTTGTTCTGTATATGGTCATGACATCCTAATGTATTTTCTACCATCTAACCCTAACTTAACATGGAAACTGCCTTTGTATGGTACACCAGGTAGTGGCATTTCCCACAACTACAGACTATTCCTACATCCAAAGTTACTTCTGCATGAAATGTAGATGAGACGTTCGTTATAATAAACAATCAGCGATTATGGATAATCTTTCTTTATCAAAATAATAATAAGCTTAGTACACACCCAATTTTGTGTAAAAATGTAGCACATGGAGCATTACTATGTACCGTAAATGTGCCTGTTACATAACTAAACTTGTGAGTGATTGATAAGAGAACAAAACACTGAAAAAAGTGCTCACCAATTACATACAATACAGTCTTTACTTGTTCCCTATCTGTCGGTCACTACGAGTTATGTCGAACGACATTATGGGGTCTCACTTGGGAGCCCAATCATCTCTGAGTTTAATAGAAAACGCCAATGAGAATTGGCTAGTGGATTTTGCATGCTGAGCCACTCCCTGTGCACATGGGTCTATAAGGCGACAGCGTGCATCCACTCATTAGATTTTTTGCTTCAGAGCCGAGTAGTTGTATGAAAAGCTGTTATACTCCACAAAGCCATTCATCTGCTGTATGTCGGGAAGCTGTTCTGGTTGGTGGTACGGCGCGAACAGTGGTGTCCCTTTCAACGATTCCCCTGGGTGCTTCAACTAAAAGAGCAGATTTCCTAAAAGAGAAAATCACGGACGATTCGTGTCTTTTTAAAGACGCCGTTTCATCCGTGTCCTTCTGGATGCGGTCGTTTCCTGTCGTCTGACAACGGCCACGAGCGTTATCTTCCGTGTCTGGTTATTTAGCACGCTGAAGACGCGTTCATGGATGGTTCATGCTCGCACTGCAAGTACCTGACCATGGCAACGCTGCGATCGCGTCTCTCCATTCTTAAAGGGAAAGGAGCAGACCCCTCTGTCACTACCCCACTACTGCAGCATCGGGGGATGGGCTATTGACCTCTGTGGATGAAGATTCGGCGGGGCTGCCCCCCTTTGGTGTTGTCGCCACTGCCGAATCGGACCCAGATTTGACGGCCGTGCTTGCCCGGGCAGCTGTGAGCATCAGGTTGGAGGTGAATACACCGCCCAGCCCTGAGTGCTCGCAGCTGGACGTCTGGTTTCTCAGTGTAGAGCATGGCTCTCAACCGCATTCTGCTCTGGTTCCTTTCTTCCCGGAGGTGCGTGAGGAAGTGACGTGAAGTCGTGGATGACCCCTTTTACAGCCAGAAGCCGCTCGTCTCCTTCCTCCGTCCTCACTACCCTCGATGGCGGGGCGGCTAGGGGGTGCGTATACATTCCCCAGGAGAAGAGACCGATTGCGGGTGCACCTGTGCCCGCAAAACGCCGCCACTTGGAGGAATAGCCGTGTCTCCCGTCCAAAGCCTGTAAGCTGTCGGCGGCTCTCGCTGCCAAAGCTTACAGTGCTGCGGGCCAAGCTGCCTCTGCCCTGCATGCCATGACGATCCTGCAATTTCACCAAGCCAAGGCCTTAACAAATGCACGAGGGTAGTACCGACCCGAGGTTGATGCAGGAGCTGCGCACGGCGACTGACTTCGCCCTCCGGGCGACGGAAGTCACGACGTGGTCCCTCAGGAAGGTGATGTCCACTGTGGTGGTCCAGGAGCGCCATCTATGTCTCAGCCTGGTCGAGATGAGAGATGCTGACAAAGTTCCCTTTCTTGATGCTCCCATCTCCCAGGCTGGCCTGTGCGGCGACACTGTCGAGGGCTGTGCCCAGCAGTTCTCGGCAGTACAACAGCAGACTGAGGCCATACAGCACATCTTGCCCCGACGTGATCTTCCAGCTGCCACCGTTTTGTCGCGGGCCGTGTCTCAGCCTGCTCGTCGCCGTGGGCGCCCTCTTGCGTCCGCCACACTGGCTCCGCTCCATGCTGAGACATCGTAGAGGCCAGTGCGTCGAGCCATCATACATCAATTGTCAGGGCGGTCTACGATCACGTTGCATGTCTCAACTCGCCCGCCATCTCCTCCTCTGGAGTCAGACGCGGCTCAAATCGCTGCACGCCGTCCACATACCGGGGGAGCTCAATCATGCGGCCGATGCGCTCTCACGACAGCTCACTTTCCCCGGAGAAGGGCGATTCCATCCCCAGACGGTTCAGCTGATCTGGAGTCGATTCGGGGAAGCTCAGGTGGACCTATTTGCTTCCCACGAGTACTCCCACTGCCAGTTGTACTATTCCCTGACCCAGGCCCCCCTGGGCATGTACGCATTGGCACACAGCTGGCCTCGGGCTCTACGCAAGTATGCGTTTCCCCCAGTGAGCCTACTCGCACAGACACTGTGCAAGGTCAGGGAGGACGAGGAACAGGTCCAGTTGGTTGCGCCTTTCTGGCCCACCCGGACCTGGTTTTCAGAACTCATGCTCGAGTCGTGCTTTCTTTCCTGCAAGAAAGGTTGGAGCGTAGGCTGTCACCCTCCACCTTGAAAGTGTATGTTGCTGCTATTACAGCACATCACAATGCAGTGGATGGCCGGTCCCTGGGGAAGCATGACCATTAATGGAATGAGCATTAAGTTAAGTGGTCTAAATGTATTTATGCATGTATTTATATATTCTGTGGAAGGCGTAGGACCAAGAAATGTTTGTCCAATCAAAACGCTCGGTCCGAGCGTTTTAATTGGCTTTCCTACCTATCTGTCAATGTATGTATTAGCATACCTCTGCGCACCTGGTTCGTGCAGACAGGATACGTCATCAGCACGTTCACGCACGCTGAGCAGACGGAGCGTGAATGGCAGACAAACATCAACAACCCGATCTTCCTTCCTGGTATTGCAGTACTTTTAAAGTTTTCTCACCAGTGAATGACACATGATGTAACCCAGTGGTTCCCAATTCCAGTCTTCTCGCCCCCCGCCCCCTCCCGCCCCCCTGCATATTTTGTATGTCTCGCTTAGTTAACACACCCGATTCAGATAACCAGCTCGTAAGAAGTGAGCTACGTGCATGAACTGATTTCCGATCCATATGATCCCTACACAGTGTTCATGCTCCCTCCTCCCTGAGCAGGGGAAATCCATTGAAGTTTACTTCACTTCGGAACATGGGCTGGAATTGGGAACTGCTGATGTAGCCTATTGTAGTAATGTTGTCTCTGGTATTCTGGTCTGTGAGCGTATATGCGTTCAGGGGGCGTGGCTTTGGACGGCGATTGCAGGGAGGGTGGGACGTTCACGTTCAGTGCTATCAGGCTAAAGTTAGCATTTTCCAAGATCTCCTACTGCACCTTTAATAACTGCAGAAGGAATTATAACTTGGTTAGATCATTGTTTGCATAAGGAAAACTCGGGAGAAACTTCTGATTTGATTTCTGTTAAGCTTATCTGTAATCTATATATTTCCCCAATAAAAAAAAGAAATTGTATAACATTTGAACTGATTCTGAACATTTTGGTCTACAACTGATAACAGCAGGCAGAAATTTTAAAGGTACATTACAGGTTCATTAGAAGTAATTCACTTCTATTGTTCAAGTAACCTCTTAGCAAAGAAATCAGTCAAATAATTTGTAAGAATCAACATTATGCTACAAATGCTGCTGATTACGCTAAACATGTATTGAACACAGCATAAAGATCTACTTTATAAAAGCATTGATCTTACCTCTGTATTCTGACTTGTCACAGACAAGTTTAAGCTCTTGTTTTCAATCACTGAGTTGGAATCCAAATTCTGGCACTGATCTAAGACATAGAGATGAGACTTTTTTTTTTTTAGTTTAGGCTAAAAACGGATCAAACATGATGCTGCATTGGAGATTTACTGCAGTACCTCCACTAATCAAAGCAGGACCTTCAGTCAGACTAAGTCTGTCCACCTGCTCCTCCATTATGCCAACTGTCAATAAGAGCAACAGAAAACAAATACATTTTTGTATTTAAAATGTTTGTTGTTTGCATGATTTCCCATTCCTTTGTGAATAATGTTAAAGGTGTAATTTCCGGATTTGTTTCAATAGCCAATATGCCAGTGCTTTGAGTCTTTATACTGACACCTGTATCTGTTTATACAGATAAAGTGAACCACACATTTTTACATTCCAGCTATACAGCATGACATAAGTTACAGGACTGACTTCTGCTTTTATGAACTGTTCATTGTTTTACATGGAGTTTCTTATAAGATTACTTCCTGCAAAGCATGCAAAGTAAACTCACCGGGTGACAGTAATGTCAGTGCTGAGGGCTGTAGAACAAAAACAGAAAGAGACAAAGTTTTACAGCATGTAGTAAGGGCTATTTTATCACGGTGGAACACAAAAGGCTGTAAAACTCAAACAAAAATACCATACAATACTTCATATACATCCATATACACTACCGTTCAAAAGTTTGGGGTCAGTATGTTTTTTTTTATTCCCAGCAAGGGCACATTATTGATCAAAAGCGACAGTAAAGACATTTATAATGTTTCATGAAAACTTCAAATAAATGCTGTTCTTTTGAACTTTCTATTCATCAAAGAACCCTGGAAAAAAAAATGTATTGTGTTTTCCACAAAAAAATATTCACTGATAATAAAAAGAAACATTTCTTGAGCATCAAATCAGCATGTTAGAATGATTTCTGAAGGATAGTATTGTGTTTTCCACAAAAAAATATTCACTGATAATAAAAAGAAACATTTCTTGAGCATCAAATCAGCATGATAGAATGATTTCTGAAGGATCATGTGACACTGAAGACTGGAGTAATGATGCTGAAAATTCAGTTTTGATCACAGGAATAAATTACATTTTAAAATATATTCAAAGAGAATAACAGTTATTTTAAATTGCAATAATATTTCACAATATTACTGTTTTACTGTACTTTTGATCAAATAAATGTAACCTTGGTGAGCACATTAAGAAAATACAAAAAACTTTTGAAAAGTAGTGTAGATAAAGATTTCAATTAAAATCTGGAAATCTTCCCGTCCAGCATAAATATTTTTTGTGTTCCAGAGAAGAAATATGACATGGGGATGAGTAAAACATCCACAAAAATATGTGCATTAATGCAAATTAAGGGAATGAAGTTATACTGAAGCAGGAGTAATCTTCCCGATCTCCTGAGCAATAACCATCCCACCTGCTGAAAAAAGAGGGAAAAAATGCAAATATATGTAGAAAAAATGCATTATTGCTTAATTCTTTAACACTTCACACATAAAATCAACTTATCTCCTTGCAGTCTTGATTTATGATAGTTTAGCTTATTTTAAATATAAGAGGCAAATTAACATTTCATCCAAAAACAGTCACTCACGCTCATAACGCTCCGTTTTGTATTGAATAATTCTTTTTTCTAAACTGGGATTGATATCTGCTATAATTTTCTGCAGAACGTCCAAATTATGTTCACCCAAAAGGTCTTCCTTCTCCATGTCCAAAAACAACTGCAACAATGTCTAAAACACATGATTGTTCATAGAAAGTTTAGTCAAACATCACAGTCTTGTCACATGCAGAGATGTGATGTCTCTCACCGTGTCCTTCTCCAGTTTTTTGCGCGATAGTGTTTTCAACAGTAGGAATTTGATGTTTTGCAGGTCCTGCTCACAGATGGACTCTGACCGCTCGTACAACAACTGTCTGAAAGCCAGAAAAAATACTTATGAGTATTACAAAGGAACTATAAAAACTTTTTAAGGTTCCTTGTAAACAGTCGCCCAAAAAGACACTATATCAAACCTCACTGCATTAATTACCTTGCACGTTTTTTGGATAGCAGATATTTTCCAGGTCAGCATTCTGGCCTTTGACCTGAACAAACACGTCTCTGTTACTAACAGCTGCATCCTCACCTGTATGGGGATATTTGTTGACTGTAGGTTGTGCCGTTGGTTTGCTTATAATCATCTGAGGTCAGATTGCGGATCAGGCTGTTTTGTTTCATGATCCTGAGCAGCTCTAGAAGCAGAGACGGATCCTCACATGACAGCTGGTTCCTCTTCTCCAGAAGACTGAACAGCTGTCCGGCTGAGCTCACGGTGCAGAGGTCTTTTAGACTCAGCAGATCAGAGCAGAGGAACACCAGGTCCTGCACCTCATCGCCAGTGAGAGACTCCTGCACTTTTAACAGCACCCGCTGAAACTCCAAGTCCATCTAGATAACACACGCATAACACTGCTGCAATAAAATTAACATTGATTTTACATACTATTTAATACATCTAAATTTACCACAGGCAACCCCATAGTAAATAAAGTTAAATACGAAGCCTGCAGGCCCTTCTGTGAAGTGCAAACCAGTTTTCAGCCTGCCATGCCACATCACAAGAGATACAACCAAAACAAAGTTATCTTTTTTTGTTTTAAATTTACACTTACATGTAGAGAATATAAGTGAATTTGAATTTTTTTTTTTTTATGTATATTTTAATATAGTATATAATGCAGCATTTAGTTTTGGTTTATTACAGATTATTGACCTTTCGTAGTAAAAAGTTTGGGCATCTCTGTTCTGTATATTCTATCTCACATGGTCCAAAAATTGAGGAGTTTGTTTGCTTGACCAATTTTAAATGTTCCTATTATTACCTTAAGGTAAAACTTTATTTTACTTGTTTTAACCACAATGGCCATTTTTGTGTCATGGCCCACAACATATTTAAAACTGGGCCTCAAACACATTGACATCGTGCACACATGTTTTATTGGGGCTTGGGTTTTATTATATGGCAGGTGGAGATTTGGGAAGTTTAACCATCTTTTCGATTATTTTTCTTTATTATGCCTATTCTCTGTTCAAGTTTCTAGATTTCCGACAGGTAGAAAGTGTAATCATATTAACGTCTTTTATTGTATGGGCCAAAACCACTAAGACATTTTTAACATATTGTGCTTTTTGTACAGTACAATACTGCCAAACTACTCAAATTACAGCATAAATGCTATAATATTATAACTGATTGGAAAACTCAAACATAACAGCAAAGTAAAATAAAATGCAATGCTGTCTGACCTCATGGCAGTCTACACAGTGACAAAAAAATCCTAATAAAATAAACCTGAAACAGCAAACTCAGCAGACACAACTTTGCCATAGAAACCAGCAGACACAGGAAAATGTGGCTGTCGCAGGAAGAAAGGTTTCCACTGTGAACACAGCAAGACAGTGTTGTAGTTGCACCAAACACACAGAGAAAAACAAAACTACCACAGAATTGAACATTTAATATAGGTTACAAAAACTGCCCTTCTTATTAGGTGAACACAAGAACTGCTGCAGTGTCAGTTTCCACCACATTTTACTGTCTCACTCTAATTTGTCATTTGTAGTATTTAAATTTTTCTTTTAGGTGTAACTTCTTCCTTATTTCTCTCTATATTTTTCTTGTAAAATTTCTGTTCTGTACATTTTCTATTTCTTTCTCATATTTCAATTTATGTACATTGTTTAGCACTGTTATTGTCTGGCTTTATCTGTATGCAGCTCATCTGTAAAGCCTTGGCAATTTGAATAAATACCTGACGTGTTATTCTCAGCTCAGACAGGTTTGGTCACACTTCAGCTTTTACTCGAAATCTGTCTTGTTACTGGAAAAGCTGTTATCTTCGGCTGAATTACTGTCATCCTACTAAAATCTAGTTAGGCAAGTGTCACAATTTTTTGTTACTGTTCGGCAATGCTTTGATGTTTTAGATGTTGTAGGTGAGGTGTCCAAGTCGAGACATCTAGCTACTGGGGTGCCTCAGGGCTCAGTTCTTGGACCACAGTTATGATTGATGATCAGCTGACTTTCTCAGACCACATTGCTAAAACTGCCCGGTCCTGCAGATTTGCTTTATTCAACATCAAGAAGATCAGGCCCTTTCTTTCGGAACATGCTGCACAACTCCTTGTTCAAGCTCTTGTTCTGTCCAGGCTGGACTATTGCAGCCAGTTCTATAGAACCTTTACAATTAATCCAGAACAGCAAGATTAATTTTTAATGAGCCGAAAAGAATGCACGTCACACCTCTGTTTATCAATTTGCACTGGCTACCAATAGCTGCTCGCATAAAATTCAAGGCATTAGTGTTTGCCTACAAAACCACCACTTTGCCTACAAAACCACCACTGCACCCCTTTACCTTAATTCATTACTTCAGACTTATGTGCACTCTAGAAGCTTGCGTTCTGCAAGTGAACGTCGCTTTATTGTGCCATCCCAAAAAGGCACAAAATCACTTTCACGGACTTTTAAATTAAATGTTCCCTCCTGGTGGAATTACCTGCCCAACTCAATCCGAAAAGCTTCCATCTTTATTTGACCCTCTAACTCTAGCACTCTCTA